CATAACAAAGACGATATTTCCCTTACCCCCACCCCCTACCCCTCTGTACATCTAGCGGAGAAATTTATATTGCAATTTTTGTCAGTATCTTATCCTATTCATTTAAACCATTTATATTTCATTGAAATTTCCACAAAATTTGCTGTTCATAAATGAAACGCCTAGAAAAGCAGTGATATGTTTAATTTAAACAATTTTGGCGAAAATGAATCATTTTGATGCTAAAGAACAAATGCCAGTGTAGAGACAAATTTACTTTTGTCAGCTGCTTATTTAGAAACTTACTTGTGAACCCAGCTTTGCCTAGAAATAAAACTTTTGTAATAAAAGTGAAATTAAAATTCCCCAAAATTTAAGGCATATCGGTCAAGGGTTTCAAGAGTTGTGATCAGAAATGCAAGCAAACAGACAAACAAAAGAGATATATAGGATATACTTAGTGCTCTTCAATGTTTAGAATTAGAAACCATATCTCGGAGTATATTACTACTCACAGATTTAAAATATGAAAAATCCCTCCCTCCCTCCCGCCCCCCTTCCTTGCTTTTAAGGTCTGGTGTGCATTGTGGGTGTCGTCAATATATTGAAAAATTAGCTTAAAAAACGATTATTTATGTAAATCATATTCTTGATTGAGCCATTAACTCCTTAAACAGATTTTCATAATATTTAAGTTATGCAGAATCTCATCATTAAATTATTCTAAGCTTCAACTATTTCTGAAATAGATAAAAACATTTTAGAAACTAAAAAATAAAAAAAAATTTACGGATTTTCCAGATTTCGAAGATGAAAGTTTTTAAGGGAGATATTAAATATCCGAACAATTTAGCGGGGGGCGGGGGGGGGGGCCTTACCGCTTAGCTTCTACATTCCTAGCACCATTGACGTATCCTTGCATTTTAGATTTAGTTTTAGATGGGAAATGTTACCCATCTTGTGTAATCCAGATTTGATCACAAATGAGGATAGATATGGAAAAAATGCGAAAAAAAGAAAGAGAAAAAATAGGGCGAGAAAAGAAATAAGAAAGAGAAAATAGAGATGAAAAATGTTATTTTTAATCTGTTATTTTTTTTAGAGGGACGTGATATCTCACCTATCCCTGATATCCTGCCACCATCATCACCCACTGCCTCCAACACCTCCACCCTTCCCTCCTCCACTCCTCCAATATACAGTCCTCCAACGGCCTCCCGATCCTCCAGAAGCCCCTTTCGGCCCTCCGTACAGGATCCTCCGACGGAGAGAACAATTCCCGTTAATAAAATTGAAGGTTTGGGACGCCGGAGCAGTAACCCGTCGTCGGAAGGTTTAGCTTTGTCTCCGACCAGGGGAAGAACGAAGCCGGAGAAAGAGGAGATGCAAAGGGGTCCGCCTCAGGTTCGGAAAATCTCTCCAAGCAAAATTCCAAGCCTTGAACCAAGTATGAATGAGTTCCGGCGAGCAGGCCGAAGAGAATTGTCAGACAGCGGAATCATTCTCAAGTCTAGAGATAATACTGGACATAGACATGGAGGCAGTTTAGAGAGGGAGGTGAGACGGTTTAGGATGAGTGGAAGTATGGAGAGGGACGGGAGAAGACTGAGGGAGGAGGGAAGTATGGAGAGAGACGGGAGAAGGATTAGAGAAGGGAAGAGTACGGACAGAGAAGATGGAAGTGTGGAAAGGGAGGGGAGAAGAATGAGGGAGGAAGGAAGTATGGAAAGGGAAGTTGGAAGACGAAGAAGCAAGATACCGATGGCTACAAAATATATGACGAGGTAAGATGTTTTAAAGATACCTACAGGGTTATTAGCCTACAAAGAATAACACTAAAGAAAGTTTAGTTTGGCGATTGCACTTACACCTTATTTCCTTTCTTTTTTTCCTTTCCTACCTGTACTTGCCTACCTACCTACCTACCTACCTACCTACTTACCTACCTACCTCCCTAATTTCCTATCAACCTTTCTACCTAACTTCTAACTATATAGATACCTAGCTACATACCTACCTACCTATCTACCTACCTACCTACCTACCTACCTATTTATCTACAGTTAAACCCTAAATAAGCAATACATCGAAGGAATTCATCAAACGAACTTCACTTTCTGATAATGAAATGTTGCAGACATTTAGTTTTTAATTAAATGATTATATTATTTACTCATTTTCGCAAATACTGAGATTTACGTAAGATATTACAAAACCCATCGAAAAATTGTCAAGACGACATTTGATAAATTCTTTCGATGTCGGGCTCATTTAGGGTATAACTGTACTTACCTACAGGGTGTCCCGATAAACATGGGAGTTCAGTGACGAATTTGATATCGTCTTTTCAAATAATTCTTTGATTTAGTATAGTTATACCCAACGAGAAAGCTGTAATCTGTAAGAGTTTCGTCTGTTATGTTCACATTTTGTTTGTTTATGTTTTGAGTGCATACGGTTGTACTTAATAAAACAAGAAAATTGCAGTATACAAACAGAGTAAACTTGTCCGTCTTCACTGTTCATCTTGCGGAGACATTATAGACACATCTTTACAGCCATTTACCGTTTTCATAAAATAAACTATAGCAGACATAATAATATTATGGCTTTTGAAATTAGGTATTACAATGCTAATTCATAACAAAGACGATATCGAATTCGTCACTGAATTCCCATGTTTTTTGGGACACCCTGTACTTACCTACCTACATACCTACCTACCTACCTAGGTCTGAAGATGAGGATGATAAGGTTGAGGACGGATTAGAGACTCTGTTAAATTTATTAGGAGGAGCTGCAGGGAGAGGAGTTGGTAAGATTTATTATCTAGTTATACATTTGTTTAAATGTCGTCTTCGACAATAGGGAAAAGTTAACGGACGATAAAGTCCAGAATGAGTCACTTAGATATTTGGAACGGAAGTGCAAGTTAAGAACAATGTAAAAAATTCCAATTTACAAAGTACAAGAACAATGTACAAAATGTGTGCACTAACCCTATTCCTAATGTGTTAATGTTAGGTCGGGGAGGGCTGACCCAACTACCTCCTGATATAGTCTCAGGTACAATCTTTAATTCATAATTTAAATTTAAAGGATTTAAAATTTTGAACCCTTTTAAAGAGGGGCGTATTTGATTCACAACGATACCCTTTAAACCTTAATCTGATCAATAATGTTGTTGTTTTTCTGCTGTAGAAATGCGCAAGTCATTTAGTGTAGAGAAAACAAATTTGTCGGTTTTTAAAGTTTTAAACATTCAAATCTAATTTATACTTGATCAGACAAATTTTTAAATTCCACCATTGTGAATTACACAATACACTCTTGTAGAATGAAAAATCACTTTAAGTAAGAACAAATTGGGAATAGAGCATTATCTATATAATATCAACACCGGGCCCTTTATCTAGTACTTAATAAATGAAGAGTATAACTTGAAATTATGCTTAAATTCTAGGAACACCAACAGATCCACTTCAGTACTTGTCCCAGTTAGAATTAGTCGCCAGGAAACTTAAGGATCAGCTCATTAAACAGAAACAGGTTTTAAATGATAATAATAATAATAATAATAATAATAATAATAATGATAATAATAATAATAATAATAATAATAATAATAATAATAATAATAATAATAATAATAATGATAATAATAATAATAATAATAATAATAATAATAATAATAATAATAATAATAATAATAATAATGATAGTAATAATAATAATAATAATAATAATAATAATAATAATAATAATAATACTCTAGGATGACCTGCCAGCCCCTAGACCTAAGCCTATAAATGAGTCTGAATGTTAACCTGGTGAAAAATAGGGAATATTTGAATATTTTTATTTTTATAGTTTTCAATTGTTTTTATTTAAATGTTTATTATTGTTAAAATTCCTATGTATATAAAAGTTGTAATTATCTAGTATACAGAATTAATGTGCAATATAAGGAAAGTTTTATTAAAATTTTATTAACTATGAATTGTATACCCTAATTATTACTGTGATATTTTCCTGTAAATTAGAAATGAATGTACAACATGTCTTATATGTACTGCATTTTTTTTATGTACTACATGTCTTATATGTACTGCATGTATTACATGTACTGCATGTATTACATGTAATGTACTGCATGTATCACATTTACTGAATGTATTACATGTACTGCATTAATTACATTTACTGCATGTATTACATGTACTGCATGTATTACATGTACTGCATGTATTACATGTACTGCATGTAGTACATGTACTGGATATATTACATTTACTAAATGTATTACATGTACTGCATGTGTTACATGTACTGCATTAATTACATGTTCTGCATGTATTACATGTACTGCATATAGTACATGTACTGCATGTATTACATTTACTTAATGTATTACATGTACTGCGTGGATTTTATGTACTGCATGCATATACATTGATTTTCATACTTCATTATATTTGCCTATTTAGAAGCACATAAGTGTTTTGATCCCAATTTTTATACCTATTCCCGGTTTTAATAAACGTGAACTTTTATTCAGAATACTAAAGGTTTTTCTAAATCTTGAGATCTTATGTTATTGCTTATGAACTAAAAACTAGGGAAGTTTTAATAAGAAATCACTTTTTATAATCGCACTTATCAGTCCTAAGAAGACAGAGCATGAAGAAACTTATTTTATAAAGTTTTAGAAATATACATTTTGTTCAACATTGTTACTTTACATAACAACTCCTTTGCTGTTCAATTTGTCCTTAGTTTTATTAAAATTATGCAAATCAAATGTATTATCTTATTATTTTATGGAAATGCACTTTACTCTATATTTTGTAAAATTGAAGTGTACGCTAGCGTACTGTGAATGCTAAATCTAGAATATTCTATGTCCAACGTGGTTTTAAAAAACTCGAATATTTCTATCCGGCCAGTTTTAGAAAGTAAATATTAATATTACTTAAATATAAAACAGTTTGCAAACAAACTGTTCAACAATTGCAAGCGTGTCTGTACATAATATTGAGTTCTTACATATTAAAGAGTTCTCTGTACATATTAAAGAGTTCTCTGTACATATTAAAGAGTTCTCTGTACATATTAAAGAGTTCTCTGTACATATTAAAGAGTACTCTGTACATATTAAAGAGTTCTCTGTACATACTAAAGAGTTCTCTGTACATATTAAAGAGTTCTCTGTACATATTAAAGAGTTCTCTGTACATGAATAAAGAGTTCTCTGTACATGAATAAGGAAATCTATGTCAAAGGTTTAAATGTACCCTTGTGAATCCGGAAGGGAGGGTCACTTAATATTACGTTTACAGTCCCTTTAAGATGAAGAATTACAGAGTTTCAGTTCTTTGTTTAAATCTCATCCGTAATGGCTAAATCTTAAATAAATGTGAAAATCTTGTATTTTTAAATATTATTCTGTATTTAGGAAATATGGGCGTTATTTTCTAGTCTTCGTGTTAACAGTTTACTCTAGATCATGTTTACACGATAGAAATTTAAATATTCTGAATTCATTTCTTTTTAGAATATTTCAGAATACACAATTATTCATCTGGAAGATGATCAGACGGAAAGTAAAGTTGAACTTTTGAAAAGACGAATTAATGAGTTAATCTCTTTTCTGAATTGATTTAATTAACCCAAAACAGGCTGGGGTGCCCCCCCCCCACATCGAGAATTTTGGTCCAGCACTCTTATTGTTGACTGCACTTGAAATGTGTTGACTTTCAAGAAATAATAATTTAAAGGATTTTTTGTAAATATTTTTTTTTTGATTCAGAGGGTAGGTTAGAGAGCAGTAAAAAGTCAAGTCCGTGTAAAAAAAATCTAAACAGCCCATCTTTTTTTTGTGATCTAAAAAACACATTTTTAAAAAGGCTCTGGAAAACTGGATAAAGAAATATAACGCCTAATAGCTGCCTTATTTTCATGTATTATAGACACAACTTATTTTTATCACAATTATACAGTTATTAAAAAAAACGTTATTGAATTTTAAAAAAAAGTCCGGCCAAATTTTATATTTCAAGCTGGAATGAAAATAAATAACTAATAACTAAATAATAAATAACAAAATAAAAAATGGTTTCGGAACAAAAAAAAGGTTTTTGATTTAATACGAAAATAAATCTTTTTTCAAGATTTGAAATGAAATGGTTGATATTTCTTCAAAAAATTTTCTTAAATTGAATTCGTCTTACTGTCTAAAGTTTGGAGAAAAAAGTAGTAAATGCCGTATTCTTAAAAGTTCGTCCCCCAAACTGTATCAGTCCAGGCACAACCAGTCCGGTATCAAAGTCAACCAGAACAGAAGCCACCAGATTACAATCCCGTGAACTATTAAAGCCACTTCCAAGTCAACCAGGACGCAACCCAGCAGGCTCTAAATGCCACACAGGGACACAAGCATAGCTATAAAACAAGCTACTACTCAGACTCTAAAGTCACACAGGGACACAAGTGTAGCTATAAAACAAGCTATTACTCAGGCTCTAAATGCCACACAGGGACACAAGTGTAGCTATAAAACAAGCTATTACTCAGGCTCAAAATGCCACACAGGGACACAAGTGTAGCTATCAACAAGCTATTACTCTGGCTCTATCAATTTAATCTTTAATATGTACAGAGTACTCTTTAATATGTACAGAGAACTCTTTAATATGTACAGAGAACTCTTTAATATGTACAGAATCTTCAAAAAATTTTCTTAAATTGAATTCGTCTTACTGTTGAAAAAGTTTGGAGAAAAAACTAGTAAATTCTGTATTCTTAAAAGTTCGTCCCCCAAACGGCATCAGTCCAAGAACAACCAGACCGCTATCCAGTCAACCAGGACTCCCAGGACGCAACCCAACAGGCTATGCCACAAAGGGACACATGCATAGCTATACAACAAGCTATTACACAGGCTCTAAATGCCACACAGGTACACAAGCGTAGCTATCAACAAGCTATTACTTCGGCTCTAAATGCCACACAGGGACACAAGCATAGCTATAAAACAAGCTATAACTGTGGCTCTAAATGCCACACAGGGACACAAGCGTAGCTATCAACAAGCTATTACTCTGGCTCTAAATGACACAAGGGTACACAAGCGTAGCTATCAACAAGCTATTACTTTGGCTCTTAATGCCACACAGGGACACAAGCGTAGCTATCAACAAGCTATTACTCTGGCTCTAAATGACACACAGGGACACAAGCGTAGCTATCAACAAGCTATTGGCTATCTACAAGCCCTTAATAAATCTCTACCCTAAACGAGTTATAATCTCAACCCGAATACTCAACAGGCTACAATTTCTCTACACTGTAATTAAAGCGGAGTTCTTATTCTAACTGATCTCTATTTACAAATCTATATGTTACATGTTAAGTTCCAATATGTATTCATAATATTACGCAGGTATATAATCTAATCACAATATGTAGCTAGTTTAGATACTGGTGTTGAATCGATAGAAAAAGAAGAATGAAATTTATAACAAAAGAATATTTGGAAAAAGTGGCACTTCATGAGACTTAACCCTGTCTCTGCTGGGGTACTTGAAAACAAGGATATGCTGGGGAGTGGGTCAATTTGACACCCCTCCCCCCCCTCTAAATCCCATGTTTGATGTCTAAATATGACAAATGATACATCATTGGAAAGCTCTTGTGCTCTACTTTTAGAATCTGCAAAAAAATTTGCAAATTACACATCACTGCTTAGGATCCGGAAATAAAATATTGCTCAACACTACACATTACTGCTTAGGACCCGGAATTAAAATATTGCTCTTCTCTGCACATCACTGCTTAGGACCCGGAATTAAAATATGGCTCTTCACTACACATTACTGCTTAGGACCCGGAATTAAAATATTGCTCTTCATTACACATTATTGCTTAGGATCCGGAATTAAAATACTCTTCACTGCACATTACTGCTTAGGATCCGGAATTAAAATATTGCTCTTCTCTACACATC